CTTTCTTTCTTTCTTTCTTTCTTTCTTTCTTTCTTTCTTTCTTTCTTTCTTTCTTTCTTTCTTTCTTTCTTTCTTTCTTTCTTTCTTTCTTTCTTTCTTTCTTTCTTTCTTTCTTTCGTTCTCATAGCCAGTTAACTAATTAGTTAAAGGAATACCATTAAGGAAGAATCCAAACATTATACATTTTTAAAAATAATTTATTTCTAATAATTATGATATAGCAACTCTTAATCACTCATATGATCACTATTTTCTTCACTGATGTGTTTATTTGTCTGTATTTCAGAGGCTTTATAAGAGAGCAGCAGTGTTCCTGCTGCGTGTCGTGGCTAAACACTCTCCTGAGCTGTCTGAGGCTGTGGTGGCGTGCGGGGGGGTGGACGCTCTGGTTCTCTGTCTGGAGGAGTTTGACCCCGGGGTGAAGGAGGCCGCCGCCTGGGCTCTGGGCAGCATCGCAAGGCACAATGCATGTAGGGATGAGAGGGCTGCTCTCATTTACATATCCTTTGTTTTGGGGAAGGAGGAGGGAGAAATTTGGGATAAAGTAGATTTTGTCAACATTTTCATTGTTTTTAGGGAGTTCTGAACAGAAAGCAGGTTTAGCAATGCACTGTCTTTATATCTTTATGTCCACTGCCTCTGCATGCCACCGCCCAGCTCTGTCCCAGTCAGTTGTGGAAGCAGGAGCGGCCCCCCTGCTGAATATTTGTCTCTTGGAGCCCGAGATGGCCCTAAAACGAATCACAGCCTCCACCCTCAGTGACATCTGCAAACACACACCAGAGCTGGCCCAGACGGTGGTGGACAGCGGTGCCATCACACACTTGGCAAAGATGATCCTCAGCCAGGACGCCAAGCTGAAGGTGAGGCTGTTGGCTGATCAGACTCAAACAGACCAAATGGAAATAATAAAAAAAGAAACTCAACTTATCTCAGTAACAAGACTTAAATCAGCATTTTTATCAGTGCAAAGAAAAACAACTGGAGACATGCAATAATATAAATACTGATTTCTGTGAAACTGATGTATGGTTGGATTATAATTGAAATATACCAGCAATGAATAAAGACACTCTGAAGAGATGAGATCCAAACTATAATCATAATGTCTACAATTAATTTCATTTTTTTCTATCAGTAAATTAAATGTAGTCTACTTTTTTAATTCTAACAGCTAAGTGACACATTTAGAAGTTAAAAATGGTTAGAAATCTAAACAAAATTTGGTTGTAGGCAATTTTTTCAACTTGAATATATTTTTTTTCCTTTCAATAATTACATTTTTTTTTCTTTCTCCATCTAGAGGCAGGTTTTCTCTGCGCTCAGTCAGATTAGCAAGCACTCGGCCAGTATGGCACAGCTGGTGATCGAGGCTGAGGTTTTCCCTGCAGCCTTGATCTCCCTCAAAGATCCAGACGAGTATGTCAGGAAGAATGCGGCAACCCTGACCAGGGAGGTAGTCAGACATTCGCCAGAGGTACTGCATGCACAGGCTCTCTAGTCACTGAAAAGGTGGATGCACTGAGTGAAGGCGTCCATGTTTGCGTTCCTGCAGCTCTCTCAGCTAATCGTGAGCTATGGTGGGCTGTCGAAAGTGGTTGACTTTCTTGGAGAGAGCCATGGACAGACCCGTCTCCCGGGGATCATGACGCTAGGATTTATAGCTGCTCACAGTGAAAGCCTTGCCATGGCTGTCATCCAGTGTAAGGTTAGAGCACAAGTTTTGCTGTGTAAAACCAACAAAAGGAAGAGAATAATTCTAACGTAGGTCATAGTTGACTGAAAACGTGCTGCTGTGTGTGCCTGTTCTCCAGGGGGTTCCCCAGCTGGCCCTTTGCCTCTCAGAGGAGTCTGAGCAGCACATGAAGGCGGCCACAGTGTGGTCAGTAGGTCAGATAGGTCAGCACACCACTGAGCATGCCAAGGCGGTGGCCACAGCTAACCTGCTGCCCAAACTGCTGGAGCTCTACATGGATGCAGGCAGCTCAGAGGATCTGAAGGCCAAAGTAAGGCGTAAAATAATTAGTTCTCTTCACCAAATAAGAGGAAACATATGCACTCTTGACGTTTCAGCAAAATTAAAGTGAAAATATTATTTCAGAGTGAGAAAACCCTGAAGAAAATCCTGCTGAAGTGCACCTACATCCCAGCTCTGGAACCACTTCTCTATGAAGCTCCCAGCAACATCCTCGAACATGTCGTCTGCCAGTTTAGCAAGGTGAGGAAGAAATCAAAGACTGGCCTAAAAAAAATCTGTTTTATTAAGGGGTTGGAGTGATTCCGATGGACTGGTCAATCGTTGGATTCTCAACAGGTGCTCCCTCATGACAGCAAGGCCCGCCGTCTGTTCGTGACCAGCGGAGGACTGAAGAAAATCCAAGAGATCGACGCTGAGCCAGGATCCACCCTCAAGGAGTACATCGACACCATCAAGCGCTGCTTCCCCGAGGAGATAGTCAGGTGCAGCTCTGATAACCTGATAAATAGTGTGTTTTTTTTAAATTGCAAAACCAGGTTCAGCTGAAACCCAACATCAGCTGAGTCAGGTTAATTGAAACACACAGCAATAGTTTATAATGTGTGTATTTTTGCAGGTACTACTCACCAGGCTACTCAGAGGTCCTGATGCAGCAGCTAGAGAGCTACCAGACCGACGTGAAACATGTTGAAGATGAAACATTTTGATCTCATTAAAACTTTGATTTTAAAGGGTTTGTGTTAAGTTCAATTCAATTCAGTTTATTTCTATAGCGCCAATCCACAACACATGTCATCTCAAGGCACTTTACAGTTCACCAGATCATACAGTCAAGTTTCCATAAAATCAAAGTTTTCTATCTAAGGAAAACCAGTTGATTGCATCGATCCATTGACTCGAATGCAATCCCTCAAACTAAGCATGCTTGTGGCGACAGTGGAGAGGAAAAACTCCCTTTTAACAGGAAGAAAACTCCAGAAGAACCAGGCTCAGTGTGAGCGGCCATCTGCAGAGGCCGACTGGAGTACAAGGAGACAGAAGCAGAGATACAAAAAGCAACTGTAAAAGGTGGCCCCGTCCAGGAAACACAGAGCCAGGCAGACGAGCTCTGAGCCAGCTCCCACGACAGAGGGTGAAGAGAGCACATCCAGCCAGTCACAGTCAGAGAAACAGAACTACACTGGAAAAACAGGCCGATCTCCAACAGATATAAACAAAGGTGTTGATGGCAGCAGCACAGCTGATGTTTCTCTCCATAGTGGTGTCACAGCCAAACAGTAACAGACGAAGCAAAGCTACTATGAGAAAAAGCAGAGATAGCATAATGTTAGAGTTTGAAGTTCCTAATTGAAGGATGAAATACAGCTGAAAATATTATCAAATATTAAATGAAAACAGTTCACTCAAATGTCCATAGTTTGAAAGGTCAAAGGGTCAGATTCAGACAGAGCAGCAAGATTGGTGAATTTAAGCTTATTAATCTTTTGCACTGGTCTTTAAAAAAAAAAACAATTAAAAATGTGGGTTTTATCAGTATTGGTAGAAACAGTCTGAAGAGTATTAAAAATGTAAAGGAATAAAAAACAATAGAAAGGCTGCTTGAAAGAGGGAGTTCTACTGCGGATTGAGGGCTCGCTCTGCCCCCTGGCGGCCATGCCTGCTTCCTGCAGCAGTGAGCGATGCAGCAGCTGCAGCGCACATGGCGAGGAGAGGAGCTCTTTGTTTATTGTCTGCAAGAGTGTCTGCTCCTTCTCCACATTTTACTCAGGTCTGCAACAAACAATCGGTGCGCTGCGCAACCAAGCACTCCGCTGCAGCAGGAAATCTGCAAATAATACAAAATATTATTTATTATTTAAAAAAAATCCAACCTGGAGCTATCAGCTTCCCCAACAATCATCATGCTGAAATATGAAAATGAGTCTGTTCAGGGTTGAAACGCTGCAGGTTGCTGCTCACAGCTTCCATCATCTCCCTCCGTCGTTTGATTTGAATTTATTCGGAAATATAAAACAAAAAACGCAGAAACAAACCGCTGAGTTCAATATATAAAGCTTATAAAAATGCAGCAGTGGCGACTGTGGCGAATAAACGTCTTATTTCAGTCATTTTTATTTAGACAAAGGCTCTAATTTCAAACGAAACATGCAGTTAAAATGCTGATTTAAACGAAATAAAATACGTTTATTAAGTGTTTGATAAAAGCGGGTAAAACATTTAACCACAGAACGAAAAATCAAACCATATGGACAAACTTAAATGAACCTTAACGTACTTTTATAGAATATCATCAACTCTATAATCTTTAAAAATACTTTAAAAAAAGAATTATTTATATTTAGACTATTTGCTATGATTTGGCTTTTTTTAATAAAAAAAGATTCCTTGATATTGATCTAATTTATATAGTTCTATCCATGTAGTTTATCCAGGTGTCACTGTGCGCTTTTAGTCGCTTGATTATTATGTTGCTCCACATTTATTTCAAATCACAGAATATGTTTGCATTTGCAGACAATAATGTGATAAGTTCTTTTTTAAATTTACGCTTTTTTCTTTTCCTGCTGGTTTGAAATCCAATGATAAATATTTCCATAATATATTTTAAAGGAGGAAGTATCCTGTAGGTGAGCCATACATATATATATATATATATATTTTTTTTTTTGATAGCCTTGATCCTTTTAGCCTAATAAAAATAATGAATATGCAGAGAAGAAACTTAAACCCTCAAAAATCAGAAGGGATATATTAATTTTTTCCTCCTTCCTTTGTTCTTTAGGTTTATTTCCTTGTATTTCTGCTTACTTCTCCATTTCATCCTTTTTCTGCTTCCAAGAAATGAATCCATTTTTAAGAATGATGACTTTAATAATTACTAAATAATTATAATCCTGAGTTATATAATTTTTCTCATAAAATAAGAAACATTTTATTTTTATAGCTAACTTTACCCCCCCCTTCACTCAAAGCTTCATGCACTGGAACGAAAATAAAAAAATAAAGAAACCATTTGAATCAGTTAGGCAGAACAAGTGCTTTAATTATTTGGAGCGAATGCTTTATGGAATGGAGTGTACTTGTTACTGAATCATTTAAGATTAAACAAACATACAGTTTCAACTTGACCTCTCTGCCACTGAAAGGAAACACTCGGCAGACTGTAAAACACAAGCATGCATACTCTCACACGTACAGTAACGCTCAAAGCAAACTGCCAGGGTCTGAAAGCGTCACAGGCTGCAGGGACTGAAGCATGCTCTGCAGGTTTTGGGTTGGTGCAAGAACATTTAGAAAAAAAAAAAAAAAAAAACATCCCACATCTGCAGATGATGCCTGGTCCTGAGCCAGTTTACATTTCTTTCCCCATGACTCTGGATACGGTCAAACACCCACATGGGAGCACTGCACACTTTTACCCCATTTACCACAGAGAAGAAAAGCAACAACAACAAAGAAAAAAACAAAACAAAAAAAACAACAAACACGTTTTACTAGACACAATGTTCTGAAGCTCAGAGGGGGTCGGGTAGGGGTTCTGATTTGGTGCATTTAGCTGTGCCAGCAGGTTGACTTGCATGTTGGTGCTGATGCAGGTGCTTTTGGGGGGAGGAGGGGGGCTTGCACCGCACTGGTTTCTTCATTTGCACAAAAGACAACAAAGCTGCATATAACATGTGCTCTACTGCATGTGAAGGCGAACCCTTTACAGAGATGGCTCACTATGATAACCACCGCCTGCTGGGGATGAACTCCCCGAGACCAAACAGATGTTTGGAGGAGAACTCAGAAAAAAACAAACAATCGAATCTAATGTGGTCTGCAGAAGTGGAGATAAAATAATAAAACAAAAAAAGAAAAGAACACTCCTCAATGCACTCCTATCTCACTCACAAAAAAACAAACTTAAAAGGCAGGAGCAGGTTGAACTAGCAGGGGGTTTAAAATGTGAGCAGACGCCACCTTCGGTCTGAGCAGAAAAGAAGCAGCTTCACACTTAAAGGTTACAAACACACTCATTTCAAATATTTACCCTTTTTCAAAGTTATTGGTTAAAAAACGACGAATTAAACTGTTTTATTACACAGACTGAGGACGAGTGGATGAACCAGGTGCTGAATATGGGGGAGCTCGCAAACACAAAAATAATAATACATCAAAGTAACACACACTGTTCATAAAATAATCCTTTACACTTGTTTGAAAAAAAAAGATTACAAAATATAAAAATTAAATAATTTGGAGTATAAAGGCACACATCTTGCACAGTGTATACAATAAAAACAGTTATTGAGTAAGCAACAGAGGAGACTACTTAATGCGATTTAGGCAGAGGGGCAGAGAGGAACGACAGAGTAAAGAGAGGAAAGGAAACTCAGTCCTGTGACATGCATCTTTTTTTTTTTTTTTATTCAACATACAATTAGAAATGATAAAAATTCAAACAGTCATTCTTCATCACTGCAGCACCGTCACTCCTGGCTCCTTTTTCCTCTATGTTCAGAGATTAAAATCCAATGTAAAAATAAAACCATCAATGTAATCTATAACATTTAAACAAATATTATGTTGGAAGCTTTTTGCGTGAGTCGGAAAGAACGAGCCGACATGTTTTAGTTGGTAACGCAACGTCACATACAAGTCACTAACTGAACACACGAGTATATTGCATTTCCCTTGTTAAGACCGTTTCCACTAATTGGGGTCGTATTTGTAACATTTGGTTCCTTTCCTCTTGTGCAAAATATACAAAAAAACAAACAAAAAAATTCTTTAATAATCACCAAAAACAGATAAAAAAAAAATAGCAAGAACAATGAATAAACACCAGAGTCACAAACGAGGTTAGAGAATGTTGCTGTTGGACCAAACCAGCTACTCCTCCTGATCTCCTTCCTCCCCAATTGACTTAACACTGATAAGATGCTGGAGGTAAAACCGCCTTTTTGCAACGCGCCGTACGTCTCCTCCCACGGGATTAGAAAGGTCAATTTACAGAATAAAATGTCTAATATTGCCGTGAGTTCTTCCAAACACACCCGTGTAAGAGACGGCGAGTCCTGCCGTGGTGGGGGGGCGGATCCGAGATCAGGCTTCTAAGTTTCAGTTCTGAGATGACTGATCTCGGTTGCTCTTTCTGCTGCGTGTGTAACAGAATAAAAGATCCTGACCAAGAATGAAAGTGCAACAGTTTGGGTTTTACTCATAAGGTGCTGTTGGCAACGGAAAAAATAAATAAATGACGGAGCCGTTTCGCTGTGAAATCTTTTTTTCTTTTTTAAAGAGCAGTGACTCACTCTTTTAGCTGTCACTGGTTACTTCGGGGCCATTCTTAGCAGCAGGAACAGAAACCGCGATCTCCCCCGGCAACGCCAAACTATTTCAAGAGGACGCTGGAGCAAGCTGCACTCTCATATCCCTCTTTTCTTCTCATTTTTGGAGATATTCAGTCTTCCCTTTTACATTTTAAACTACTGTGCATCACAAAGGAGATAAAAAAAACAAAGAAAGATAATCACAGACGGACACGGTGAGGAGTAAACACGCATTTTACAATTTAGCTAATGTGGACGGCTGTGGCCCAGAAGCTCAGAACGTGTAAACAAAAAGGGGAAGATGAGCGATGAAGGAGGCAGCTTTGTTTGGCTGGATGTGCGAGCAGCTTTTTAAAGCAGGTTTGGTTGTTGGCCTCATGGAAGACTGCTTCCAACGTCCTGGAACGAATCGACTGCATCAGGCAAGGCTCAACATTCACGTCCAGAACGGCTTTTAGAAACAATACGAGGAAAACAACAAATATCACATCAAAAAAGGACAAACAGAGGCAGGTGCTGAATGTTGGGTTACGGGTAATAACAATAGTTATTAAAAAAGAAAAAAAAATAGCCACAGGCTGACATTAATAACTAGAAACAAGAGATCCTGGTATGAAACATGTAATGACTTGGACACTTGCTTTAAAACGACCTCATCATCCAAAGTTACACATGAAAACAGAACTCAACAAGAGAAGGTTACATGTAAACAAACAATGTTTTGTTTAGCTGCAGATGGAGGGAACCCCGCTGAGAGAGAGAGAAGCTGACAGCGATTGGCCAAAGGGAGAGGGACACAAAGCTGTCAGGACACCTTATTAATCCAGCCTCTGCGCCCCTCGCTCCATCACACCTCCCCTCTCTTTCCCCATGTGCCTCGGCGCTCTTGTCGCTCTGGGGGGGCTATGACAGGATGGTGGTGATGAAATCATAAAATCTCTTGGAGTATTGCTCTGGGTTCACCGTGGAGATCTCAGCTCCGGCCTGCAGAGGGGCACACAAAGAAACTTCACAGTTGGCTAAATTTACCACAGTTTAGTTACAACTTTAGGACACTCCTATTCGTTTTACACAAAGCAAAGGAAAAGGGAAAAAAAATCCTGTTTTCTAAAGAATTGAGAAGAATTTGTCTTCCATAAGGGGCTACTGTGTTATGGCAATAATTAAAACACAAGTTCTAATTTAGATTGGTTTATTTTACAAAATGAAATTTTGAAGCTGATCATGAGGAGCAGGAAAAACAAAACTGGAGAGGAAGCAATGAACACACCCAGGGAGGAAGGGTGGTTAGGAGAGGAGGAATGGAAGAAAAAAGAAAAGAAAGACCAGAGACAAGAGAGGTAGGATGCAAGGAGGAAAAAAAAACAAGAGCTGGGGAAGAAGGAAGAATCCAAGACAGAAAAAAAATATGAGGGATGGATAATAAAAAAAAAAAAACGGAGGGAGGGAGGGAACATAGAAGGAGACACACAAGTTATGGATAGATAGAAGGAAGTAAGGAAGGAGGGGAAAAAAAAGAAGAACACAAAATGAGGATAAAACTGAGAGGAAAAAAAAGCTGACCAAAAGAACAGAACGTGTGGACAAAAGTAGCAAAGGATAAAAGACAAGGAAAGAAAGGAGGTTGGTAGGAAAAAAGAATAACGGACACAAGGAAGAGGGTAGGGTACAAGAAGGACAATTAGCAGGGATACAAGGAAGAAGAAATGAAAGGGAGGAGGTACAAAAAAGAAGGAAAGGAAGTAAGGAAGGAATAGCACTGCCTACACCACCAGTGAGCAGGACAGGTCCTCATCACTGAGATCCAAGGACTAGAAATCATGGTTCCATGTGAAGCCGCTGTGAGTCGGACGAACCAAGCTCCCTGCTGAAATTTACACCCAACCTTTTTTCAATGTAGGACTTTCCGCTAACTATTGTAAGTATAGGTCAGATATTTGTCTTATCAACAGCTGTTAATCTCTGCAGCTCCTCCAGAGCTACCATGAGACTGAGCATTTCTTCTCCCACACCTGGATTTATTCTTTTTTGCACTAGATTTTATTTAGGAATGTCAGAATAAAAAAAGGTCAGAGAGAAATTCACACATTGCTGTACATGTTTGTCTCTCTTAAATAAAAAAAAAAAAAATCATAAATTCTTTCTTTCTACTGCAAAATGATCTGCTCCTTCATATCGGCAAATTACACCACACCCAAACACATGTGGTACTTTGATTTTCCCGCAACAGAATGACAAAAAGATCAGATATTTAAATATTTTTACAAGGCCTCTTGAATTAAACAGAGTAAAAAACAAATATAAAAATAAATAACATTTTAACTTAAATGATAATTTCTGGACTTATCTGCTTAAATCATCTAATGAAAAAACAGAAGATCTAAATTTTATACAAGGAGTAACTAATAACAAGCTTTGTGAAACAAATCCTTGATGCTATCCAGCTTTCACCCATAATGAAGCCTGAGGTTTTCGACTTACACTAAATTAATAATAAAATAATAATAAAACATATTATTAAAAACCTTATAACAAAAACACAGTTATTAAGAAAAGAAGAAAACAAGAAAAAAGGTTTCCCTAAATGCTGATTTAAGTGGCGAGCCAACAATGTACACTAATGCTCCAATAAGGCTAACCCTAAAACTTGAACTCTTTACACAGTGTCAATATTTATTAATACTTGCAGACATGCAGCAGTTCTAATACAGAAGAGATTTATCAACCTACCCCATGTTTGACTGTTTTGGCGGCATGTGCTGCTTTCTTTTTGGCATCGTAATGCTGCAGGATGTCAATGACAGCCATGAAGTAAACCTCCTTTCTGGGAGCACCTGTAGTTAGAAGCAAATTAACTTAAGATAATGTGTGCCCCTGTTTAGCAGGATCAGAAGAAATTTACTATGAACATGTTATGTCCCCGGAAAACAATCTATGGCCACTAGGGGGAGCTCTCCGCACTGCAAGAACAATATAGAAAAAAAAAAAGTAAATATTCGTTAAGTGTATTTAGCCTTAATTTGAGTAGGTAAATAAGATGATTAGCCAATGGAATGAGTTTTATTACTCTTAAAAAAGATAATTAGATAATATGCACTTGAAATTTTTTATTTTTTTTTTTCCAGACCCTCCTTTGTCATCTATCATTGTGTTATAAATGGCCACTCACTATCGTTGCTTTTGATGGCGTAGACGTCGATGGTGGGATCAAACTCTCCGGGCGACAGAGGCTTGGTGCTATCCAGGGTGTTGCTTGGACTGTCGGGGGGCGTCCCAATGACCCCACCGTCGCTCTCGCCCTCCTCCTCTGCCTCGTTGTCCTCACTCTCCACCTCTTCCTGTTCGGCCCGCTCAACGTCGTGGATCCCCACAAGCAGACTGTAATCCATGAGCTTTAACTGGGCCAGGAACTGAGGACGACGGTGAGAAGGTTGAACCATGCATAATTAGTGTAAGGAATTGCATTCGAGTCAATGAGTCGATGCAATCAAAAGGTTTTCCTTAAATAGAAAACTTTAAATCACTGTATGATCTGGTGACCAGTAAAGTGCCTTGAGATGACATGTGTTCTAAATTGGCGCTATAGAAATAAACTGAATTGAACCAACACAGACAATAAGGCAATTGTTCTGAAACAACAAGCATTCATCCACATACCTCCACGTCTTTCCTAAGCTTCTCCAGGAACATTTTCTTGTTCTCCTCGTCGATGTAAATCTTCTGCCCATCATTGATGAAATCGTTGTCCTTATAGGTGGGCAGTTCCTTCGCCTGTCCATTAATGTCAGAGATTAGCAACCACACAAAAACAGCTCAACCGTACAGCTCTAACCTTATAACTTACCTAGAGTCATTTATTTTAAGAAACATTAATGAAAAAGCTAAAGTTAAACAAGTGTGTAAATCACTAAGACCTTACATCCTGTATGCTGCATGATAAGACTTTAAATGTTTGTTCATTAATCCTATTAGACATATTACTGCTTAACACAATTCATGCAGCATGCTAACAGAAGAGTGTAGATCCATCTGATGCATCCTCTGCACATTTTGAACATATCTTTTAGGATAAAAGATTACTGCTGGAACTGAACTTAGAAGGGTGCTTCGAATGCATCTAATAGATCTATGCCCTCTGTGCCACTAAGAAAAAAGGAAGACTTAAAGGGCATATTTCATTAAAAGTTATGTTCAGGGTTTAGGTTCATGACATTAAATTTCATTTGCAGATCAACTGTCAAGAATCCCTCAACATGTTGTTCAAGATATAATTTTAAAGGGTCTTATTGTGTAAGAATATTGCATTTTAAACTCACATCTATGCTTTGTGAAATACTAAAACGATGAAAAATGAATTAGATATTAGAACTTTGTCTTTGATTCTGATAACTCTGGAAATTTGCCCTTTAAGCTGCTAAAAAGAGGTTGCCTTTCAATTAAAAGCAACCCATACCAACATTTCACTGTATGTGTATGAACCATACAAACACAACAATTTTATCCACTGCAGTCAGTGTATTTATAAGACTGACTCATACAAACCGGCCAACTAACAAAATACAGGAGACTACAATTTAAATTCCTTCAAACAAGGTTTTATTGTCATTCATTAAATTGTGCTGCAGAAATGCCTGCAGCCTTTAGGGGGAAGCGTTGCTATGATGAGGAGGGATGGGGAGCCTTTTTTTGAGTCACTGAGGAAAAAATAAGGGCAGGAAATGAAGTAAGAGGGCAACAGCTGCAGTTTCAGCTACTACAATGTTTCTAAGGCAGCAGGAGAAGAGCAGCAACTAGATAATGCACGGACAGGACAACACTGACACATTCATACACATAGAGACAAATCCAATTCACAAACAAGGACACCGTGAGCACATATATACATCAAGACATTGACCTCCACATTGCAATAAACATGGAATGCACAAGTTGACCGACTTGAATGCTTTATGTTACATGAAACCTGACATGACAATGTTTTTATGAGGCTAAATCTAGAGTGAACACAAGTTATAGAATCCATCAGATAGACTGAGGTGGACTGCTGCTGCTATACTGACTGCAAAAACAATGCAAATAACTCTTATTAGTCTACAGAACTGATAAAGAATAACACAGAAAAACAGAAGTGGGTATTAATAAAGGAGGGTCAAATATGACTGCTGATAAAACAGAGCTTTTCCACAGCCTTGGAAAATTTATTCTACATTGTTGCTGGGTCTTTAGTAAAAACTATAATAAAGATCACCGATTATACACTAAAAATAGCTTTTATAGTTAAGCCTATGGCCACTTAAAGTTATCACGGGTATTAGGGGAAGGGGGTCTAGGATTGATGACAGTATATTGATAAAGTTGTGTGAAAAAGCTCCTGTATAATTCTTATTCCAGCAAAATGTAACACATATATGTATAATTTAGTATTATGTACGTTATTTATAGTGTGGAAAAGGGAACCAAATCATCCTGGCGCTAAAAGAGGTTTTATTTTATTTACAGAGCAACCAGAAAGCTATTTGCATCACTGCACATTTTCCACATATACTTTTTTTACAGCTTTAGTCCACATTTTATTAATTTTTCTCCTAAAAATCTAACACTCAATTTCCTTTTTGTCAATTTGGGAAAAGATTTATGACTGCTACAAGTTTATCACAAATTGAAACCTAAGGAAATATTTTTCCAGTAGTATTCACAGGCTGTATGCAGGGCCGTGTCACATAGCTCACTATGGTTGCATACAGCAGCTTTTTGATTAAATTGCAGCACCTTGTAAGCTTACCATTTTTCAATTTTTGTGTTTTGCACTTTGTTTTTGCTTATTTGTTAGTAAACTTAAGCTCTTATGTGTATTTACCATAACAAGATCACGCAACCAGATGTACAATGCTGCGCATGTAAGCAATAAAAAAACAAGGAAGAAATGGAGTCAACACTTCCCCAGCGAAGGGAAAGCCCAAGATCAAGGGTAAAAAAGTGTAAAAAAGAAAAAAAGAATAAATACCACCCTAGTATACCAAGAAGGATATGACAGTGCTCAAAATACAACATGAAAGGTGGTGGAGTAAATGCCTCAGAACTTGGTCAGTTTATAAGTAAGTACTGCCAGCAGATGGCGACAGTGTGCAACCTTGTTCATGTCTGCAGCAAAAGTTCCATTTGGGCTCAAAAAAGAACAATGTAAATGCTATCAGGATGAACACTTGGTGTGCATAGTTTTATTTACATGAACAAGTGGTTTTTGGCGTTTCATTTGATTCTAAAGCTTAGCACAGGTAACTTAATGCAGTTTGGGCCATTCCTCTTTGCAGCAAATCTCAGGCTCTGTCAGACTGGATAGAGACCTCTCTGCTCAGCCATTTTAGACTTAGACAGATTTTATTTTTATTATTTGCAGATCTCTCCACATCAGATTAAGGTCTGGACTCTGGCCTGACCACTCAAGGCACCTGACAGTGATTCTGATCCACTGGTTTGAGATCTTGGGTCAGCTACCCAGTCTTCCGGTGTAGGGTCTTCCATTTATGAATTATGGATGTCGCTGTACTTATTTGGACTTTTAAAGCACCAAAAAAAATTCTGTATCCTTCTCTAGATTTGTGCTTCTGAAATTCACTGCGGGAGCTTATATCATCAGACTTGGGCCTTTTACTAATCAAGTCTGATCAACTGAGTTTAGCAAAGGTTGACTCAAATCTAAGATGTAGAAACATCTCAATTTTGAACTTTATGACGAGGGCTGTAAATATTTAAATGAGCTTTAGTTTCATTTTCAAATTTCCCATTGTCATAACGGGATACTGTTTATAGAATTTAAAGGAAAGAGATGAATCATTTGGAATAAGGCAATGACATAACTAAATGTGGAAAAAACTGCAGTGGCATGAATACTTCTGGATGTACTGTATTTCTTATTACATTTAAATAACAAAAAGATAAACTGAGCTTAGCTAAGGAATAAGCCAGGCTATCTGCACAGATGGCTCATCTGCTTTACAGGTATGCCACTCTGAGCTCATCAACTTTGTCTTTAAAATGGATTTACCAGAATACAAATGATCGGTGAGCCCCCTGGACTCCTCACATCATGTCTGCAAATGTTTTATGTGACAGGAGGTATGTCCCAGGAGCCAAAATCAGCTTTGATTAAGTGAACAAAAAGTTTTATATGCTTTTTGCAAGCTGCTGTGACACCGTGTGGATTAATGTAGGTGGGCGCTGGGGGGGGCGGTTAGCTCTCCATCAAACTATGCTTCTTACAGTCATGGTATATCTAAGGCCCTCTGGCATGAAAAGGCACAAAGAAGGTTAATTAAGCTGTATTTTTGGATAGTTTTTTTTTTAACTATATTTGTAATTTAAAGTAACCCTATTAAGGGGGTTTCATGTCATCCAACTAGATGGCAACATTGTAAAAACAGAATTTCTTCACATCTTTTTTCATTTTACAGTTAGGGATTGTTTCCAACTGTCGTAATTTTTTTTTTTTTGAGGGGGGGGGGTCAAGCTTGTGCATACTTTTTAAATTATGTAATTTCAGCTAATCTCATCACACATTATAGCGTTCTTGTATATTGAAATTGTTGTTTAATATTTTCGTTTTACTTTAGGACTTATTCATTTGGAACATTTTATAATAAAGTGGGTATTGTGAGTTAAGTGAGTCTGACAAGCTGAGAAAAAAAAAAGTTGGCTGTAGATAAATGAAACACGTGGATATATGGGCCTCAAATAACAGTGCAGTGGTGTGGAGAATACGAAGAAAAACAAAAAAATAATGGTCAGTTGCAAAAAGAAAAAGGATAAATATGTCTGTCACACCGACAAAAAGGTTTAATAGATCATGCCTGATATATGAGCCCTGGTTCTCTTACATCTCTTACGTGTTTCATGGCACAGTAAAAGCGTGTGGCAATCCGCAGTGTTTGCAGCCTTTGCTGAACGTTACCAGATTTTTGCCGCTGGGGCACATCCTCTGGTGGGGGTGGCTGCTAGAGAAGGGTAGGGAGGGGTGAGGGAAAGGAACGAAAGGGATGGAGGAGAAAGGAGAAGAGCAGAAAGAGGAAGGAAGTTGGAAGTAAAGGCAAAGTGTTTCAAATTTAACAGAGCACAATAGATGGGGACGATCTGTAGGAAGAGATTCGTGAACGGATCGATTCCAGAAGGTCTGTTAGTCTCCAAACAAGCCCATTCAGGAAATGGGGACAGTTTTGTGAGTAAAGAAATAAAATACAGAGGGGTTTTTTGCTTGTAGTCATTAACTTTAGAGAAATATTTCCAAAGAGTCTTCCAAGCCTGTTAATATTGGTTTACTAACCTTTTCCTGCCATAAAGCTTTCACCGAGAAAGGAAGCAACCTGACAGAGGAAGGACCTGGGCCTAAGTAGAGCAGGGAAAGAACTATCTATATTTGTAATAATAAAATCTGCAGTCAGCTAAACATCTAAAGTGTGGTACTATTTCTAAGGGCTTATAATCTCTATTAAAAGGGAGACAAACATAAAGCAGCTCAATCTCATTCATATTCCCACATGAGAGCTGGAGACAGAAGGTAGTACTGGAAAGTTGGGAGAAAAAAGGACCTCAGAGGGTGTGTCTGAGCTGACACCTTAGGGAGCAATTAGCATCCTTTGCTAATACATGGATACTGAAAGGAGTGCCAAAGACAGACTCTCTGTGGCAAAACCACAGACGGCTGGTAACTGACATGAGCTGACAAACCTGGCGAATACTAGCAGGATTATCTTTAAGTTAACCTCTGTACTCAGGAAAGCCTGCTGCTGTTATTCAACAACCAAAGACAGCAGCTACAGGAACCACAAATCCTGATTGATGGAAAGGAAAACCCAAAGATTATTCTATGTATGGCTTTAACAGAAAACGTCGATATCGTGCAAAAACAGAATGACGCTGATGCTAACACACATTGGAATGTGTTAGGAAATAACTCCACTTTTTAAAAGGATGCAGAAAATTCTCATAGACCATGCAGATACATGCATGAAGGGGACAGGGCCATGCAGTTTGGAGAGTACTGAACTGTACCGTGCTTGTTGTTTGTGTGTGTGCAGTGCTTTCTGTTTGTTTTTCCACATACACACAGTGTGCTGTCACAAATAAGCACATATCAAGAGGCACAGTGCAGATTAATGTTGAGCTGCAGTGTGTGTGATTTGGACATTAGTTGGAGTGGATGTTAGTATAATGCCTTCATAGCTAAAATTATTAACCAACATTTCCTGACCCCATCTGCAAGTACAATGAGTTTATTTATATAATATTTTCTTAAAAAAAAATCACCAGAGCAACATCTAATAGAAAAAATTATTCGGACTTTACTTCTAAGTTCATCCGAATATACAATATATCGCTATTCGGCATAGGAAAGACAAGAGAACAGGACATTAAGGTAAAGCAGAAAACTGTTTATCAGAAAAAAAATGAAGAAACAGCTACTGGGCAACTTTTGCTCATCTAAAATTCTCTGTATTTAGGATGACAGCTTTATAATGAAATTATAAATAGGGCTCACAAACACCAAAGATAATCTTTCAGGTGAAGAGGATGCAAACAGAAGTAAAACAAAAAATCCCAGCGCCATACTTTTAGAGAAGTCCTGTGAAAAGCAGCCACATTGGATCTAAAAATCTTCAATATGACTGCTTAAGGACCATTAGACAGCAGCTAAACATAGTTTCTGCCTTTGCATCATAAATATAAAAATGTGTAGTTTTCTAAACTATACTGGAACTCAAAACTGCTGCAAATGAATCAGGTAAAACAAATAAATATGTAGTAAATCACTTTGTGGCCATTGTTAGGTCGAAGGGTGTGATGCTATAGCCTGACGTAGTCCTACTCAATTCTAGTCAGAATATGAGGCTGATACTGCTCCATAGAGCTGTGAAAAAAAATGCCTCTGCACTCAATTGGATAGACCTACAACCAATAAGAGCAACAGAGTGCGTGACGTATGTTAAGCGACCAAGGGAGCCAGCTGATAAGTTAAACTTTTGCCGAATCCCGTAGGAAGGACGCCAAAAACATCTTTCTTTTCAACAAATGCCTTGATCGCGTTTCTCTGTCCCCCTTTAAAATTAATTTGCTGTCGATATCTTCTAGAACAGACCTAATAGCAGAATCTACACACCTCAACTCTCCAGCGGCAGCCATTGTTGTTGTCACCCAAGCCCGCTTTGGTCACGTGGTTGATTACGTTACTGTTGATATTCTGTCCATCATCGTATAAAGTCCGCCCTGACAATTTGATTGGCCCGCCAGATATTGTGCGAGCATACTCCCGCTACTATTGAGCAGAGCCAGACCGAACTTCCCGACCTCAAACCTTGTGGGCGGGACTAAGTTCGGAATGGCACCCAGGCTAGTGATGCTATGGTCCCCCTTCCATCTCAGCCTACTGACTAAACACTCTAAATGGCAAATAAATGGGTCTTTGTTGGATAACATCATAAACATGGCTCATCAGACATAATGTCAACCATGTTCAAGGGCCAGTTCCCAGCTATTTAGTAAACTTGTGGGGTGAACTGTAGAGAGGGGTGGATCAATAAATCCCAAGGAGTTTCCTGAAGATATTTAGCAATGAGGAGTTTTCACAGACCCCTCTCTCTCTAGATGGTTCAACATTTAAAAAAGTCTGACTTAATAGTATAAGTATAAAAAAAAGGATGTTCTTTGTACAGAGGGTTAGGTTACTACAATAAGTTAAGCTTTTCTACACTTTAACATATTCTTGCAGTTATGGGCCACCAATTATGGAGCACAAAGCAGGAATGGACTTTAACATTATCAACCCAAATAATGTTTAAAGAAAAACAAACAAAACAAACAGAAAAGAAAATAGTAGCCTTCCTAGGTCTTCTGTAATCAGTATATCATCTTCTCATTCGTTCTCACATGAATGCATTAAATTGTTACTTCATCGCTATTGCTAGACAGTATTTCATAGACAGCTGTGCTGCAGAGAAAGAGGTCACACAGTGGGCTCACATGTGCTAATTCCTCAGCTGCTCAGGCTTTCCACTCATTTGTTTTAACCCCAGTGATTTCTTCTTTTTTTTGTTTGTTTTTGTTTTCATTCCTCCAGCTGCAGAGGGCTAAATTTAGTTAGGAGATTCCCTTAAGTGCTCTACGCTTCACTGCCTGGTGCCCAACAACTCAGCTCCAGTGAAGAAATAAAAAGGCTGCTGCAGCTTACAGCACTCAGGGCGGAACGGTGGCGAACTTACCAAATGAAGGAGGGGTAAAAAAGTCCAACTAAGGACAACTACTTGCTCAAAAAGCTGCTTGGCTGTACCACCAAGTCACTAACTTTTTAGTCAGAAAAAGAACCCTTTAGTCCAAACTCCATCCATGGCAGTATCATGGACAAAAAAAAACCTCTTTCTAGAATATATTAACCAAAACAGATATAGACATAACCGGGTCAGACACACACAATCCTCAAACACAACCGTACAGAGAGACTACTTAATCAAGACAAAACATCCAACCAAGTTAAGCTCCTTATTCAACAGAAATACAGACATACAGTTTCATACACCTCGAGCTTTCGCACAGAAAGCAAGCAGGGATCCTATGTGAGCTACAGAAGCAAGGTTAGGGGAGATGAACGTAAATTACCGGGACACAAAGGGCATGCAGAGGATAGAGAGGGGATGGAGGAACGAGATGGGTTTTGATTGGAGGAGATGGATAATTTTGCTGCTGTCGTTTCCACCCAAAGGGAGCGAAGCAAACACCTCAGCAGCTTTAGTCCGTTTGGGCGACGACAGCAGGCTAGGAACGGTTTCAAGCTGTGTCGGTTTTTGACTAAAGCAGGTTGTTTTCTGTCTCATTCTGTGATTTCTTTACATGGCTTTAAACTGACATGTAGCTGAATCTGGGCGATAATGTTCTTACTGAGAAATTTCAGCAGTTACTCAATAAAAACATGTTTTATAAGAGCTTCAATCCTTGCTTAGTTTTGTTTGAATGAAATTAAAGCAGGCCTCAAAGAAGTATTCTAGTGATTAAAATGTTACTTAGCACAGATGTAAGGGAAACTTTTTTTCGTTGTTGTAACAATACTTATTATTATATCTTAGGCAGCTGAAAAGTCTGTTTATTTCCCCCCAAAAGGTGCCAAATTAGTAAGGAAAATGCATGTATGGTTTGAGCAGCACAATCCAGGGTAGGAGTTGCTTCCCTAAAAACCAACCAAATCCTTTCTACCAAAGCCAAACAGCTTTTAAAGGAGGAAGTATGATGATAGGGGGCAAACTAAAAATATGTTTCATCATAATTGAAGTAATTCTCTATGCAGAGAGATCTCAGGTTGAGGTTCTGCAATCCCAGACTTCAGATTTCGGCACTGGGACCATGTTGGGGGATCACAAAGTTATTAAAACCACCACTGCTGACTGACAACAAATACTGTTTTAGGAATAAGATGTCATCCCAGAGCCGTTTCTGATCAAGCTGTTGATGTCCATAAGGAGGAGGTCCCAGGCTGCTGTGGTTGTGTGTTGTTCCCCCATTTGTTAAATGAATGAAATGTTAAGCTTCCGCTTTGTCTCTTCATATTTGGTGTAAAGCAACTAGATGGAGAAGTAGGAATGACAGTGACTGCTCCAAGGACAGACCACCATGCCCCAACATCTGGCTGGTTTTGAATGGGCACAACCCTCATTCTGAAAGAGCACTTTCCCTCAAATTGGGCTGTATTGAGAGAGAATAAACTGCCTTTCCATTAGTACATAATTTATCTCAGTTAAAACAAAGAAATAGTCCAAACATTCATGTCCTTACTCTCTGCGAGGAGCACATTATTCTCTTTGACTCCTTTAATAAAAAACTACCAGGTCTGGTAAAATGAACGAATGTGTTTGTGTATTAAGAGCTGATCGTGGCTCAAGGCAGGGGACTGTACCTTCTCCTTATCACTGGCCTCTCTTGCTACTGTGGAACCCTAAAGAAAGAAATATGTGTATGAGAAGGCAGATCTGCAAATACAAGAAATATAATCCACTAGAAAATACTTTAGCTTACATTCTTTCTAAAAATTTGTCATTTCTATTAAAAAGAGACTAGCACTCCCGAGCAATAAACAAACAAGTGTTTGTTCTTTCATTAATCTCTCCCGTCTCCCCTTCTTACCTTTAAATCATATTTTTTGTAGACAGAAAGGCGGTGAGAGAAGACATTGCGAGTGACAATCATGTAGGTCTCGTCTCCGTCCACTGTGAGACGGTACATCCCCAGAAACTGAGGAAGTAGGGTGTTGCCATGGCACTCCACAATGAACTACCAAAAGAGAGTGGAGAATACAAATTTATGGCCCTTTCATATCACAATGGCTCTTTGCAGTGTGCACAAGTGGGTAGTAACAAAAGCAAAGAAGAAAACACAGCATGGTGCCTTTAAGAGTATTTTTTTTTTGGTCATCAGCTTTGAGGTGATAAATGGATGAGGACCGCGGGGGCTTTTCCTATAAAGGCTCCCTTAGGAAACCTGTGCTGTTAAAATAAACAGATATTAAAATGCAACATTAAATGTTCGATTACCGCAACATGGCCAAAAACTAGAATATTCTCTACTTATAAATATTATAAAGAAATTATGAGACAGATGCTTATGGATTTTTAAAAATCCTGCAAATTAATTATTTGTAGAGAAACACAGGGAGAAAAAAAAAAAGAAAAGACAAATGGGTTGTCTTACATCAAAGAAATAAAAAATTCACCTGATGGTATTTCTTTAAAATGTTGTGCATCTCAGCCACATCCTCACTGCTGATGGTCTTGATGACGTAGCGCTTATCGTAAGAGGTATGAAAGCGGGCCCCACTGCGACCCTGGGCCTCACTGTTTAAGGGAGCGCTGCGAGTCAGAGAGTTCTGCAAACACAGAACAAACACATACAGCTTAAACAAAGCTATACTTTTTTGAAGGTTTGGCTGAAGAACTCTGGTTTTACTGTGTAAGGTTAAGATTTCACCCAATGCTGTGCTTGGCAGCTGTATTCATACCTATGAAACTATTAAACGTTTTATTAACTTAAACTCTAGTTTCACTGTCATATTTAATACTTCAATGTATTTCATATCACAGATCTGATACAAACAGTTCTATGCTAGAATATAAAAGTTATGGTTTCCTAATCTTTTACAAATAAATATCAACAAAGTGTGGCTTACATTTGTCTTCAGTCTAAAACTGATGCTTTGTAAAACCACCTTGAACTACAGTGGCAGCCGTAATCCTTATAATGTTTGCCTCCAACAGCTTTGAATATTTTCTCCACACCTCTCTCAATATAACTCAAAATAGCTCAAGCTGAGTCAGACTGGGCATCTGTAGTGTTGCCAAACACTTAACTGAGTGAAAGCCAAGAGCTTTGTTTAGTTAAGAGCCAAACCATTCTATTGGGGCTCTGCCTACATGTTTCAAGTTGTTTTTCAACAGAAAAGGAACCTGTTAAATCCTCTGTTGCCTCCAAGAGGGGGGGTTCCCACTGCATGATGCTGCCACCAACACTTTTCTCACCCTAGAGATCCCCTTCCCTGTGATTAGCAGGGTTATTTTTGGTAAGCTAGCCAAAAACTTATAGTTTTGTCTCATATACACTAAAGCAACTGCTTTACATAAAATCCCAATAAAATATATTAAAGATTGCGGCTGTAAAAGGATAAAAAACCTTAAGGGAATCGAGCATATAAGTATCTCTTAACCTCTTACACCCTAAGGGGGTATAAATAAATTTCTGCCTGACAAAAACACACAAAAGTAAATCACTTATAGCCTCAAAGCTATTAGATTTAAGAAGAAACTTTTGGTACGTCTGTAAAGGTAAGATGTCATAGAATGGTTTTCTGGTGTCAGCACCATTGTAGCTTTGACCCTGCCTGAAATATTAGGGACAAAATACTTTGCATTTTTTGAACCTCGCCAAAATTTTCTTTGAAATAAACATTGCAAAACACTACCAAAATATTATTTATAGCACAAAAAAGTAGTACAGACTTTTAAATCTAAATGTTGTGTAAAAATATACCAAATTTGGACTCAATCAGATGAATCATATTTATTTTAGAATGGTATTAGTGAGAAATTTCTTAGGCGGAGAGGCCATTTTGGCACATTTATCCAAAAATGTCACCAAACTGTGCCAAATGTGTTTTTTACATCAATACTGGGGGTTTGTTAAAATTACGAGGTCACGTAGCAGCTGGACCCACCGGTGGGTCCGTAGGGTTCTAGGGGTTAAGCTGGGCATACACTGTACGATTTTTTGCCCGTTTCAGGCCGAATTTCCAGTCGTGCGAGAATGTTTCGATTGGGCCGAATTTCAGCTTGATCGTGTGTCGTGTACAGGGGGTAACGAGGGCAATCAACCTCTTATGACCACCTCCCCATCAGGAATCATGAGAAAATCAAACATTTTTGAAATTCAGTTTGCTGTCATGGGCAAATCTCTCATTGGGCATGCGCAAAATGATTCTTCTTCTCCTTCTTCCTCTCAGATTAAATCATAGAAGCATGGCGGGGATGTGGGTGTAATGGAGTTCGTTATGTAAAAGTCACAGACCGTAGTAGCCACGTTTGCTCAGCCATGTCTTTGTTCAAAAACTTTGCCGTATTTTCTTTTTAGGGCTTCCAGCACACAAAATTGCATAAATTGGATAAATTACATTTCACTCTAGTGAGTTTCATATTCCTCTTCTGCTTGTTTGGCTTCCAGATAGACGAGTCCAAGTAGCACTATCTCACAGTGGAGCTCAGTCCGATGTATTTTTGACGTACAGTGTGAGCAGGTAAATCGCATCAGAGCATTCGGTCGCACAGTGTGAGAACATACATCGTGAGCTGTGAACTCACACTGTACGATGAAACCCTCTGGTTTCGTCATACAGTGTGAGCTGTAGCTGCATGTAGCAATTGAAAAAAATGCACAGTGTATGCCCAGCTTTAAAAGTATCAGAACCAATCCTGGTCCATATTAAAATGGTAAATTTAGCTGTGATACTAATGTGTTGGATGATTTTCCATAATTTCTAGGGATCTACTTCGTCTTCCTACCTCCTATGCCAAAGTATAACACATGAGATTCTGACTCTTGTACTTGTCTGTACAAAGCAAAAGACACACAGAGGCGAACAGCTGCTACCCAGACTTTGGAGACTAAAGTAACATGATTCAACATCTCCTGGCTCAATTCCACATTCACCAAGAATTCCTCACCCTCCAGATCCTTTCTTTCACAAAAAAACACCATAATATACTATCACTACAAAGGGAATACCACCCTTTTCAGTAGGATATAATTATGAGTCGTTTTTGTGTTTGCTATCATGTCTCAAGATGCATTTATTAATATATGAAAGAAAAACATAGATTTATGTTTGTGCTTAACATATTGTGCAAAATACGCAATATACCTGGTAAAGTAAAAGTGTGTAAATGAATAAAGAATGGATTAAACACAGCAATAAAAAAACACTGAAAAAACCCAATGAACTTTATGTTTTAACCCTAAAGTGATAAATAGTAAATTCTACACTTCATTTGGACCGGACAGCAACACATTGACTCCAACCAACTGAATCCTAAAGTAAACATGAAGGGAGGACAGCTGCACTGCGCTGGAACACAATGACCTCTAAATACTGCCAAATCACGGCCTGCACTGGGAAATAGGGGCTTACTAGGAAAGAGGGAAAAAATAAAAAATCAAGGAACTGGAAGACTGGACTCCAACAAAAGCAGAAAGCACATTGAAAGTTTCTTCATTCCACAGTAACTGGCAACCTTCTACCAAATCAGATGTCCTTTTAATCTTAAATCTAAACTACTTCTTACCGAGAAATCCTGATCATCGATACCAAACCTCTCCCTGAGGTTTCGAAACACGAGGGGGCAGTACTCCTTGAATTTGAAATGGCTCGGCATGTTCTCTCTGCACACAAAAAGAAAATGAATCAGGAAACAGAGAGAACATTGATAAACAGATAGTGCAAGTCTGGCATCTGTCTTTCTTCAGTATCGTTATAACTTACAGGAGGATAGACATTTTACTTGATTGCTGTGGCAAATTAAATGCCTTACTTGTTAAAGAGGTGGTTGTCCACTTTAATCTTAGAATAGGCTTTGAAGTCATCTGGCATGAGCATGATGGGAATCTGAACATGGCTTAACTCGTTTATCTGTGCAGAGAAAAAAGAAGAAGAAGAAATTTGAATATCAGATTGACAGAAAAAAGCAGGTTGGTATTTACCAAACAGAGGTTCATAAACAATGTGATAATGGCTTATTAGTCTGCAAGACAACACGCTTCATGTCTGCTTTGATGCATACCATATGTTTCCCCCTATTTCCCCCAATTAAAGACAAAACATTAGAAGGATTTGGCACTGTGTTAAAAAAGGGGTTAATACAAATATCTGCTTGGAAAATACATAAATTTGCCAAAACGGACAGAAGAGAGTCCCACTTCCACTAGTGTGCTTCTTCTGACACATTAAAAAGCACCAGGACAGAAATTCTGAAAAACTATTTAAACAGTCTCTTTCAGCTTATAAAAATGTTATATGATCAACATTTTGCAACTCAAAGGTATTTTTTTACAGTGGTAAGTGCAAAGGTTGCCTTTTTAACATTTCCACATGCTAAGGTTATCATAAACAGTAAAAAAAAAAAAAACAGTGATCCCCTAGTGACCTGGCATTGGTCCTTATGCTCTCATTTCCAATAAAAATAGGCTTTACTACTTTATTAATCACCCACTGATAATCAATCTAGCCTCAAAACTGCAAAGAACGAAAATGGGGAGAAATATAAATGAATAAATATAAGAGCATGAATGTGAATTACAGAATCTGATGGAAGAGTAATATTTTGCATATGAACTCTGAAAGCTAAGGTCAACGTCTTTCTTTCCTTTACATTTTAAATCAAAGCAGGAAGACCTGAAGTTATTATTAGAGCTTAGATAAGCGCCTAAAGTTCAGGCCTGAATCAGTGTCCTCATCTAAGCTGTTGGTATTATGAGAAGTCTACAAATCCTGCCAAAACTGTTGAAGTTTAGAGGTGTTTTAAATAGACTGATTTAAAAAAGTTGGAGACTTATGATTAAGAAAAGATACTTCAAAGTCCAATGGCAGGTTTTTAAAATATGAAGAGATTTTCCTCCAGTTTCTCTTTTAGCCAGGTGAGCAGGGAGCATTATCTGCGCTGTACATTTTAAAAGATTCATTATTTTTTGTCATTTTTTCTTTAAAATGTTTTGTTTTTTAGGCCAAGTTATTGAACAGCATGTCTTGTCTTTTCTACATTGTTTCAAAGTTGTCGAAGGAGGATAATACAAAAATCAGATTTCAGAGGGTTTTTTGTCATTAGAAACTGAGCACTACTTATGACTGGGCTTACGTTTTTGTTTCACGTGGTCAAAATAATAGCTGTGCAATTTATTACATTCACATTACATTGTTTATGTCTGTAGATAACCACAAAAATAATGCAAAAAAAAAAAAAAAAACATTTTTCAATGTATTTTTGCCATTCTGTGTTTTGCACGTTCTTAATTTTTTTTCCCCCCATCACCAACAGCCTTCGTCTAAAATTCGAGCCTTGAGAATGACAATGACTAAACAAACTAGACACAGACTATCACACCCAGTTAGACTTCACATACAATGACTGAATGCGTTTCTATAATGATTCAACAGAGAGGAACACATGTGGACACTTGACATCCTGGCACACTAATAAAGCCAAAGGCCTTCAAACACTTACGGCTCCATGCAGGTATTTCCACTTCTAGCTAGCTGTGCTCCACATTGCTGCATTACGTAGACCTGACATTTGTTATGACAGCAGGCACAGCTTGATAAACATATGACGCGTGTGTGCTTGTCTCTATGGATGTTTCTTTGTGGTGGCCTGCAGGCAAGAATGCTGGCAGGTTGCTCCATTTGCTCTCTATTAATAACCTTACATTTCAGCAAGCATTTCTTTAAAATACCGGTGGACTAAAAACGCTCCAATAGTCAGGCTCTTACTGTACATGCAGCATTTAATTACAAATTCCAACCATTCATAAAGGTGCAATTTATAAGTAGAGCATTTCATTTAATGGTATTTTTTTGTATGTCAAACTTATTTCAGCAAATTTAAACCATTTATTTGATTAATTTGGCACATCCATCTTTTCAGTTGTCTGCTGTTTATCTCGATTCCTTTAGTCACCTTTTCCCCTTGTTGCCAATTATGATCATTTTAGTTTATCTCCTCCGCATTTTTCAAATACTGAGGAAATCAAAAGTATGATATGTGATTCACCTCTATATGCTAAATGTCAAACCATCTACATTGATAGGTTAAAAGCTCTTTCCTGGCCAAGCATTAAGAAAACGGTTCCATTTTAGGACGCAAAAGCATCAGCGTGGCTGTTCACATTTTAAAATCCGTTCCGGAGTTACTTCTCTTGATGGTCACATTCTGATATACTGCATTTAATGAATGAGTGAACACCAGTGGACGCTCTTCAACTAGCTCCAGAAACAAGAACAAACGTTACACTTGATCAGCTCTGACTGGTGATCAGCACGTCAAACAGAGAAATCCGTCTTTTTATTTTTTAACACTACATGTTAATGGTGTACAGGGGCAAAAAAGTACAATCGGCCACTGATTGTGCAAGTTCTCTTCCTTAGAAAGATAAGAGAGTTCTGTAATTTTCATCACAGTCACTTCAACTATGAGAGACAAAATGAGAACAAACAAATATCTAGGAAATCAGATTGCAGGATTTTTTTTAATTTACTTGTTAATTATGGTGGAAAATAGATATTGAGTTGTTAACAAAAGTTCAACTCTGCATTTTGTAGCAGACAGGTTAAACATTTCCTGTAAAGGCTGACTATACTTTGAAACCAGGTCGTCTGCGTAGGTGTTGCAGTGAACGCAGAGACGTCCCTGCCCCCTCCGCAGACACTCTGCGGCACCTCTCCCAAATTGTATGTGACCGTAGACAGTGCTACAGACAGGAGGGCTCTGATTGGTCAAATCTACATCCTCTCTACCCATGCGTATTGCCTGTTTGGTACCTTACCAGCTTGTTTTTTGTATGATCACCATTATGGAAAACGACTCGTGAAGTTGGACCAGCTAGAAGAGCGAGGTGCTCAAGAACGCTGGGACCCTTTTTCCACCTGGATCTCCGCTCTTTTTTGCCCTCATGTCCCTCCGTTGTCGGACAAGCTTGCCCCCACTTCCTCACCGCTAGTTTGTGATTGTCCCTCTTATTTTGTGGAATAACATAGCGCAGGCCACGCTTCAATATTGAGCATAAATCAAAAATGTCTGCATCATACCTGCAACAAACATACTGCAACACACTGCTGTGGGAGTATAACCAGCTCTTTTGTCTATACCAGGTTTGCTGACGTTGTAGCTGGTATTTTAGCCCATTCCTCCATGCAGTGGTGTTTTGAGGGTGTTGCTTGGCACCATGGACTTCCAACTCCCTCTGAATATTCTCTTTGGGGTTGGCTGCAGACTGGGTAGCCCACTCCAGGACCTTGAAATGTTTTTTACAGAGCCACTTCTTTGTTGACTGAGCGGTGTGTTTGGAATCCTCTTCATGGTGGAAGACCAAGTCATGTTTTCATCTTCAATGCCCTCAATAATACAATGAATTTAAAACCTCATGGTAAATGGCCTCATTCATTCTTTCCATAACACAGATAAGTTGTGTTGTCCCCTTTGCAGAAATAAGCCCTGAAGTATGACGCTTCCCCCCTGTGCTTCAGAGTTTTGTTGGGATGCAACTTGGCAATGTTCTTCCTCCAAATATGACATGTGGAATTTGTACCAAAAAGTTCCATTTTAATTTTATCTGACTGCATGATATTCTCTCAATCCTATTCTGGATCATTAATTATTCAGACAGATCTGGGCATAAACTGGCTTCAGCAGGGGGACCCCCTGGCATTCCAGGATTTAAAGCTGCAGTCTGTAACATTGAGAAGAGAGCAGACTTCGACTTAAAATTTGAAGAAAAACAGGTTTCACTCCACTCCCCCACCCTCTCTGCTTCACTCATGCCCCACCTTCAAGCTCCACCCCTCTCACAGCATCTGCGCGGCTACCGCATGCCACAAGAAGCGTCCAAGCAGCGTACGCAGCATGGAGTGTGAACCGGTAAGAGCGATAACACTCACCTCCAAGCAGCAAGATATAAGATGCTGGTTATACCGAAGTTTGCCGTGTAAGCAGTTGTCGGCAGGGGCAGTAAGGGCAGTTTCTCTTTCGCTGGTGGCTGTCGCTCCGCCATGACTTCCACGCGCGTCCTCCTGACTGCGGCAGCAGCAGCTTAAGCGGTGGGGGGGGGGGGGGGGGGGGGGGGGGGGGGGGGGTTGGTTGTTTTGTGTTGTTTTGGTTGTTTTGACTCGTCCCGAATTTTTCTTTCCATATTGAAATACAGGCAGTATGCGGGACCAATTGAAGCAGTTTTTTTCACAGGTTACATATCACATGTACTGCTGTCTGGGCATAGGGACAGTTTTAGCCAATATGACAAAAAAGTGATTTTTAAAAACTTACAGACTTCAGCTTTAAGTCCCTCTGGACATAGTGTGTTCTTGATGCTAGCCTTTTTTCCTTTGGTCCCGGCTCTCTGAAGGCAATTCCTCAGGTCTCCCCTTGTAGTCTTGTCCTTTTTGGTCACCATTATCAAGATAATTTTGACCCCACAGGACGAGATCTTGCATGGGTACAATTGTTCTCAAAGTTGATTTATTCACACCCTTGTGCCTGCCTATTGTAGATTCACTCTTCCCAGCCTAGTGAAGGTCTAAAATCTTCCTGGTGTCCTTCTACAGCCATGGTTGAATTTGGAGTCCAACTGTTAGAGCTGTGGACAGGTGTGTTTTATACAGATAAAGAGATCAAACAGCTGCCATAAATATAGGCGATGAGGGGAAGACAGAAGAGCTTCTTAAATAAGTTAGAGGTCTGTGAGAGAATACTTTTCACAAAAGTTTACCTAAAAAAAAAAAAAAAAGATTTAAAAATCCTACGATGTAATTTCTTGTATTATTTTTTTCCCCGTTTTGTCTCTTGTAGTTAAAGCATACCTATGATAAAAAAAAATTAAAGACCTCTCATCTGTCCAAGTAGGAGAACTTGCACAAGTAGTGGCTGGCTAATTT